CTATCAGCTCTCTCAGCTGTATAAACAGCTGACAGTCGTTAATCAGATGTTTAATCTGGACATCAAATTATGTCACAGGTAAACGGCGAGCTGTTTCCCTTTGTTTCCAGTGTTTATGCTAAGCTAGGCTAAGCACCCATTAGCAGCCATGAGATCAGATCTTCAGTCTCTTTGTTCATCTTTCACTTCATTTTAATTTCAGATGATCCTAAAGCTCCGCCCCCTCCGCCCCCAGACGGTCACCAACCACAGACGCACGCCTGGAGTTTGAGTCTGAACGAGCTGATCATGTACATCTCCATCACGCTGAACATCCTCCTCGTCCTGGTTACAGGTGAGTCAGTCTGAACGTCAGACCATGTTTGGTCCATTGACGTCTTATTTGAAGCTCATGTTTGAAATCTTTCAGGTGAGGGGAATCAAACCGTGTCTCCTGATGTTCTGTTTGCAGGTTTGCTTTGTAAATTACTCTGTTTGAAGAAGTGCTGCAGCGAGCAGGTGTCTGAGCCCTCACCTTTCACACCTGAGAACCCTGAGAGCCCACAGGTGAACAAACAACAGACTTTTGCCCTGCTGATGCTAATGCTACCTGTGCTAATGCTCGTCTTTCTGTGTTTCAGTATGAAGAGATCCAGCTCAACGCCCACAGAGCGCCCCCTGCTGCTGATCTTTCTCGGGACGATATTTACTCCAAAGCTGGATTTCCTCAGCCCACACTGCGTCCACAGAGACACCTGACAGCTACCTGACACCCATTCTGTTTGTACTGTTCTTTAGACCAGTTAGAGAGAAGACCTCTGCTGCATGACCTAAATGTAAATGAAGCTTTTTTTCTCAGATATGATCTTCAACCGTTTACTTCAGATTCAGCTCAAACCTCAACATCGTCCCACTCACTTTTAGACTTCCTGTTAGAGCTGCTTAGTTACCATCTTTGGACCCTCACACTGAGACAAACAAATACGAAAGCTTCGTCTGTTGTTTGGATTCAAAATTTAAAGCACGTAAAGGTTATAAACCACAGAATCGTCTGCATATAGAGAAACCACACATCTCTTAATCAAGTTAGAAACTCAGACTTAAGTGTTATTAAAAAGAAGTGAAAAGCGTCCTGACCTCAAACACCTTCCTCACCCCTCCTGAAGAACACAGATGTCAGTTGGAGATGTTTGAGACGCACTGTGGGCGTTTACAGATCTGATTCAATCTGGTCGGTTGTCAGACGGTGGGAGGCGGCTCTTCACCCTCCATAAACAAATCTCTCAGCAGATTTAACCTTTAAATACTTAAATCTTATATCACTTTAGATTCTCCACCGTGAGGAAAGATAAACAGGTCTCACTCTCTCAGTAAGAATCTTTATCTAAGGAAGTGACCATATTTGGAAAAGCGCCACCAACTTTTCCAAATATTTGTGATTAACTGCGATGAAATTCAGACTCTCATGTTGTTTTTATTGTGAATGCTCATATGATGATGGCGATGACATTGCGATGTATAGTCCCGCCCTAATGTTCAGTTCAGATGTGAAGGAGATATAAAAGTGTACGTCAGGCCAGAGCAGAAGTGGAGCATCTGATAGAAGTAAAAAGCATGAGGTGCAGTAGAACGACAGACACAGTGAAGCTCGTCTGTAATCACGGGTAATATGTGTCAGATATTAACTAAGAAACTTAAAAATAAAACTGTCACAAACCACTTCCTGTTTCTGTTTCACACCTCAGTCTGCCATAAAAAAAACTGGTCAAAGTTGATAATAATCAAAAGTTGTGTCTGTGTGTGTGTCTGCATGTGTGTCTGCGTGTGTATTTGTGTGTGTGTGTGTCTCTGTGTGTGTGCGTGTGTGTGTCTGCGTGTGTGTTTGTGTGTGTGTGTCTCTGTGTGTGTGCGTGTCTGTGTGTGTGTGTCTGTGTGTGTGTTTGTGTGTGTGTGTCTCTGTGTGTGTGCGTGTCTGTGTGTGTGTGTCTCTGTGTGTGTCTGTGTGTGTGTGTCTCTGTGTGTGTGTCTGCGTGTGTGTGTGTGTGTGTGCGTGTCTGTGTGTGTGTGTCTCTGTGTGTGTGTGTGTGTGTGTGTGTGTCTGTGCATGTCTGTGTGTGTGTGTGTGTGTGTGTGTGTGTGTCTGTGCATGTCTCTGTGTGTGTGTGTGCGTGTGTGTCTCTGTGTGTGTGTGTGTGTCTCTGTGTGTGTGTGTGTGTGTGTGTGTGTCTCTGTGTGTGTGTGTGTGTGTCTCTGTGTGTGTGTGTGTCTGCGTGTGTGTGTGTGTCTCTGTGTGTGTGTGTGTCTGCGTGTGTGTGTGTGTGTGTGTCTGCGTGTGTGTCTCTGTGTGTGTGTGTATGTGTGTCTCTGTGTGTGTGTGTGTGTCTCTGTGTGTGTGTGTGTGTGTGTGTGTCTCTGTGTGTGTGTGTGTGTGTCTCTGTGTGTGTGTGTGTCTGCGTGTGTGTGTGTGTGTGTGTGTCTGCGTGTGTGTGTGTGTCTCTGTGTGTGTGTGTATGTGTGTCTCTGTGTGTGTGTGTGTGTCTGCGTGTGTGTCTGCGTGTGTGTGTGTGTGTCTGCGTGTGTGTGTGTGTGTCTGTGCCAGACATAAACACCAACTCCCATGATGCTTTGAGGAAAAGAAAAAACATCAGAGTGACTTTTCACCAAAACGTAAACGTTGATTTAAATCTAGTCCAAATCAAAGGATCCATCCGTCCACACCTGTTTGACTCAGTTAGCGATATGAAAAGTAGAAGAGAAGCTCGCTCCTCTCAAGCTCCTCCCACTTTCCAAACAATAGCAGAGTTGGTGCAACCTGCTTTTCTTGACCTCCTTTTAGAGGTCACATGTCCTCCTCACACTGTTGTCTCCCCCTGCTTGTTGTTGTTGTTGTTGTTGTTGTTGTTGATCAGTCTTTTATAGAACTGCCGCCATGACTGCAACGTCTTCCCTGACCACACCCAGAAGCCGGAGGTGATCCCGGCCATCATGGTCATCAGGTACTTGATCATGAACACGGTGAAGTCGGGCGTCAGTGGTTCAACGTTTCCGTCGGGGCACGGCACTGCAAAGCGTTTGCACGTCTGCAAGCGCCACGTAATTTCCCACTGTGGCCGGAACGCCTGCTCGTACAAGTAGCAAGCGAGGGTGATGCTGGCGGGCACTGTGTACAGCACGCCAAACGCTGCGACCCGCACCATCAGCTTCTCCAGCTTCTGCGTCTGAGTGCCTTCATGCTTCATGACGGTGCGGATACGGCAGAGCGACACGAAGCCCGCCAGCAGGAAGGAAGCGCCGATGATAAGGTAGATGAAGAGCGGCGCCAGGACGAAGCCCCGCAGAGCGTCCACACTGTAAATCCCCACGTAACAGACGCCGGTCAGTAGGTCGCCATCCACCTGCCCCGTCGCCAGAACAGTGATGGTTTTCACTGCCGGTACCGCCCACGCCACCAGGTGAAAGTACTGGGTGTTGGCCTCGATGGCCTCGTGACCCCACTTCATGGCGGACGACAGGAACCAGCTGAGTGACAGGACGACCCACCAGGCGGAGCTCGCCATGCTGAAGAAGTAGAGCACGGTAAAAAGAAGTGTGCAGCCCTCCGTCTTGGTGCCCTGAGACACCGTCCTGTACCCGTCCACTCTGAACTGATCCACACACGCCACCCTGTCCTGCAGCAGGACGCCCACGCCATATGTGGCTGCCACCATGAAGTAACATCCGGAGAGGAAGACGATGGGCCGCTCCGGATAACCAAACCTTGTCGTGTCCAGCAGGAAGGTGAGCACGGTGAACAGGGAGCTCACACAGCACAGGACTGAACAGACCCCGACCCAGAGCCGGACCAGCTTCAGCTCCTCCTCCCCGAAGAACATCAGGCCGCCGGGCCGGGTCGCCTCACACGGGGCACCACAGTCCTTCGCCCCCAGGAAGTGGTAGTTTAGGTAGGCGGGTACCTGGAGCTGCAGGGGGCAGGAGAAGGCCCGGTTGGTCCGGACGTACAGTGGTGGGGTTACGAGGTCCTGGATGTTTGGGGTGGGGTCTAACGTGGGATCGTCAATGCCGGTCGTGTTCCGACCCACACAGATCTCTCCCGAACCGTGGACCGGGAAGTTTTCACAGCGCAGCCTCTCCGGCCACGGGAAGCCAAACTTATTCATGAGCGCTTCGCAGCCGCACCGAGCACGCTCACACAGAGCCCTGCAGGGGGGGAGGGCCTGCTCCAGGACTGTGCACACGGGGGCATACAGCGAGCACAGGAAGAAGCGCAGCTCGGCTGAGCACGCCACTTTAACCAGCGGGAAGAACTGATGCACCTCCAGCCCCGCTTCCTCCTGGGAGGAGTGTCCCAGCAGGGTCGGCAGGATGGTCAGGTTGTAGGCGAGCTCGCTGCACAGAGGGATGGAGACGGGCTGACAGAGGCCGTGCTCTGGGATGGGGACCCCCCCATCAGACTGAGAGGAGAGGGGAGACAGGAGGAGGGAAAGAAGGAGGGTCCAAACGCTCCTCCTGATCCTCCACATTGACATCATGGACGACTCACAGCACGCAGGAAAAAGAGTCAGTGAAGAAGAAAGATGTAGAAGACAATAAAAAGTCTCCCTGGATCCTCTCTCTCCTCACATTCAGACTCCTCCTCAATGATCCCCGCCCCATTCCACAAAAACACACACACTCCCTGTTATTCTTCTCTCCTCCAATCAAATGAGAGAAGTCTGTCTGGTATGAACATTCTTTTTATATCATTCAACTAGTTTGACTAGAAATAGTACAGGTGTCCCTCACTCAGGTGTCCCTCACTCAGGTGGTCCTCACTCAGGTGGTCCTCACACAGGTGTTCCTCACTCAGGTGTTCCTCACACAGGTGTTCCTCACACAGGTGTTCCTCACACAGGTGTCCCTCACACAGGTGTTCCTCACACAGGTGTTCCTCACTCAGGTGTTCCTCACACAGGTGTCCCTCACTCAGGTGTCCCTCACACAGGTGGTCCTCACTCAGGTGGTCCTCACTCAGGTGTTCCTCACTCAGGTGTCCCTCACTCAGGTGTCCCTCACACAGGTGGTCCTCACTCAGGTGTTCCTCACTCAGGTGTCCCTCACTCAGGTGTCCCTCACACAGGTGGTCCTCACTCAGGTGGTCCTCACTCAGGTGTCCCTCACTCAGGTGTCCCTCACTCAGGTGTCCCTCACTCAGGTGTCCCTCACACAGGTGGTCCTCACTCAGGTGTTCCTCACTCAGGTGTTCCTCACACAGGTGTCCCTCACTCAGGTGTCCCTCACTCAGGTGTCCCTCACACAGGTGTTCCTCACTCAGGTGTTCCTCACACAGGTGTTCCTCACACAGGTGTCCCTCACACAGGTGTTCCTCACTCAGGTGTTCCTCACACAGGTGGTCCTCACTCAGGTGTCCCTCACTCAGGTGTTCCACCTCTTTATAAACGGTCATTATTTTAAATATTATGTTTATTATGGCACAAGTGTCGCGATCATTGTTTCTGTTTTGTCTCATTTAGCACGTTAGCCGTAGCACGACGATGTGGTGAGCTTTGGCGAGCGACACGTGAAGTTTGACAGAAACACAATGAGATGAAAAATAACTTCTTCGGATTCTTCAGAGAGAACAAATCAAAGGCTTTTTGATTTATTAATGACGACGTTGGTTCATCTTCAAACAGATTTAAATATTCACAAACTCCTCCTCCTTCTCTTTTATCTCAACAATCCATCAAACATTCAAAAACATTTACACATCAACTTCTCAAAACAACTCGCCGACTACGTCTCTTTTGTTAGCATCTTGCACAAACATGCTTATGTGAAGCTTCATATGAGCTGAAGAGAGCTGGTGTTTAAAATACACAAAGAAGAGATTCTGTTTATTGTCGTCTCCAACAGCGTCTGGATGAACGGCAACACCAAACACATGAAGAAGAAAATACTCTCCAAACATTCAGAAAGAGCAGAGCTAACCAAAACTAGCTCGACTAAAGATCAAGGCAGTAAACGTGGACCTTACTTTGATTCAGAATCCTGCACGAGGTCTAAGTTGTGTAATTACGTTGTTATAAGGAGGTCATCGAGGAGGGCGGGGTCGGACCAACAAAAACCTTGGCAGCGTTTGTTTAAGAGGATGACGCTCCTCGATGCAACTTGTGATGATTAAAAACAATAAATGACAAAACGTTTGGCTTCTATGTTTGTGAATAAAACAACAATTATAATAGAAGAAATAGAATATATTTTAAAGAGTTTGTTTTAGACGTGCTCGGTAGATCGGTTATGAACTGGATACAAATAAAGAAAGATTCTCATATTTGTTGTGTTTTGTCGTCACTGTTCAGTCGATCTGAAAAGTTTTTATGTTTGTTTTTTTTACCCATGTCGTCCTGAAGAATTTGCAGTTTGTTTGGTATTTTCATAGAAATAAAAGTTTTCTTTAACAGGAAGTGATGAAGACGACGCTTGTCACCAGGGATCTTCATCACAACAAACATTATTCACTCATTATTCATGAACGCCGTCAGGGGAACTCAGCAGCCAAACACACCAAGAGAGCCTGATAAACACAGCTAACGTATGCTAACATATGCTAACAATGAGCGCAGAGGGAACATTTGATCTAAATCAACAAATAAACAGATTAAATCACATCAACATCACAGCAGCAGCACTTAGCGTCAGGCTTTAGCTCCATGCTAACAGTTCAGCTCGTCTGGTCAGGGTCTCAGTCTAATGAAGTCCTTTTTGTCCCCCGGTCGGTGTGCTAGGACAGTCGTCTGTTCACCAGAACTTGTTGGTGGGCAGCAGCGAGGGTTTGACCCTCCGTCCGGGCCGAAACACGTCTCTGACCTCCGTCTCCAGACAAACACCGGGAACTTTAAAAATGGACACAGCTGTAGAAAAAAACAGAGAAGAAGAGAATTAAATACCCACTGGAACTGTTAGCATGCTGCTACGTTAGCATATATTAGTTATTGCAGAATGGTGTTCTTACTGTCCCTCAGGTGCATGATGGGAGCAGGTAATGTGCTGAAGTACAGGTGCTGCAGTGCATCCTGTGCTGAGATCCGGTCTGCAGGGACCGCCTTCAGCATCCTCTGGACCAGATCCTCGGTTTTATACGGCAGCTGGTCCAACCTGACCCACAGAGACACAGCAGGCCACATGCTAACAATCAAGCATGCTAACTGCTAAATAGACAGTAGACATTAGCTTAGATCAATAACAGTGGGCTACATGCTAACTGCTAACACTAGCCATGACTGAAATAATGAAACAGATTTTTTTTGTCTCACCTTTTCCAAATGGTCCTGAACTGTTTGGGTTTGGAGACAAACAACGGCTCTGTGACACAAACAAACTGACGTTAACGTTGTTCACTAATCCTGATCCTCTGAGGATGAACCTGACAACTATAAATCTATAAAGAATACAAAACACAGTGCTGTAACATATTCCAAAACTGATCGAGGATTGGCTGTGGGACAGGAAGTGGGCGGGGTTTACTCACCTGGTTCGTAGTTTGGCAGTTGACTGATTCCAGGCCAGGTGTTCTCAGAGGGAACGCCCACAACCTGTGATGTCATGGCATTATTTAAATATAGAGTCAAATAAAACTTAAGAATAATACTTGGAACTCTTTCTCACCGCCCAGATCTTCTGAAGTTGTTCAAACACATCAGAGACTCCGGGGAACGCCGGCGCCCCCTGCAGCATCTCTATAAAGATGCAGCCAGCTCCCCTGATTCAAACACAAAACTTTATTAAAAACTCTCACAATCACATGTCAAAGGCTCTGATTGGCTGTCAGTCTATAAAACATAATCTAAGTCTCTCGAGAGCGTTTAAACACTGACTTTAAATGTCGACTCAAATATTAAATATCACGTTCATGTTCGGACCAGATATCCAGAGCTGTGGAGTAATCTGTGGAGCCCAGCAGGACGTCAGGGGGGCGGTACCACAGCGTCACCACCTCCGAGGAGAACGTCTGACTCGGGATGGACTTGGACCGGGCCAGACCTGAACCAGACAAACAGGTCCCCATCAGTCCGGAATCAAAACCACCAGGTGGTAAAAAACCACAAGTCGTCCAGCAGACAGAAACTTTATTAACATATCCGACACCTGAGACGCTGACAAACTTCATATGATTGGATCGTCTTATTTATGAATTAATTAATTAATTTTAAAATCAATTTGTAAGTTTTCAAACCACCGGAAATACTGACAACAATGAGATGTATCTGTTTATTATTGGACAGACGAGAGCTACGTGTGGAAGGGGCTACATGTGGGTGGAGTCATGTGCGGTAGGGGTCATATGTGGGAGGGGCTATAAGTGGGAGGGGCTCTGGTCTTACCAAAGTCGGCCATCTTGAGTTCTCCCTGGTAGCTGACAAGCAGATTCTGAGGCTTCAGGTCTCTGTGGAGGATCCTCCGACTGTGGATGTAACACAACGCCCGCAGCAACTGGAACATAAAGAGCTGCAACCAGGACAACAACAACAACAACAAGCAGGACAACAACAAAAATAAAAACAACAACAACAACAACAACAACAAGCAGGACAACAACAACAAGCAGGACAACAACAAAAACAACAACAAGCAGGACAACAACAACAAGAAGGACAACAACAAAAACAAAAACAACAACAACAACAACAAGCAGGAGGACAACAACAAAAACAACAACAACAACAACAACAACAAGCAGGAGGACAACAACAAGAAGGACAACAACAAAAACAAAAACAACAACAACAACAACAAGCAGGAGGACAACAACAACAACAAGCAGGACAACAACAAAAACAACAACAACAAGCAGGACAACAACAACAACAAGCAGGACAACAACAAAAACAAAAACAACAACAACAACAACAACAACAAGCAGGACAAAAACAACAACAAGCAGGACAACAACAAAACCAAAAACAACAACAACAACAAGCAGGAGGACAACAACAACAACAAGCAGGACAACAACAAAAACAAAAACAACAACAAGCAGGAGGACAATAACAACAAGCAGGACAACAACAAAAACAAAAACAACAACAACAACAACAACAAGCAGGACAAAAACAACAACAAGCAGGACAACAACAAAACCAAAAACAACAACAACAACAACAACAAGCAGGAGGACAACAACAACAACAAGCAGGACAACAACAAAAACAACAACAAGCAGGAGGACAACAACAACAACAACAAGCAGGACAACAACAAAAACAAAAACAACAACAACAAGCAGGACAACAACAACAAAAACAACAACAAGCAGGACAACAACAAAAACAAAAACAACAAGCAGGACAACAACCAATGCAGCAAAGACAAGGAAAAAACACAACAATGAAGACAACAGAAAATAGAAAAGGAAGATGACCACAACAGGTTCAAGTCCCGCTCAGCGCGTGTTCTGTGAGTGTGAACCAACCCTGATGTTGTGTGAGTGTGAACCAACCCTGACGTTGTGTGAGTGTGAACCAACCCTGATGTTGTGTGAGTGTGAACCAACCCTGACGTTGTGTGAGTGTGAACCAACCCTGATGTTGTGTGAGTGTGAACCAACCCTGATGTTGTGCGAGTGTGAACCAACCCTGATGTTGTGTGAGTGTGAACCAACCCTGATGTTGTGTGAGTGTGAACCAACCCTGATGTTGTGCGAGTGTGAACCAACCCTGACGTTCTGTGAGTGTGAACCAACCCTGACGTTGTGTGAGTGTGAACCAACCCTGACGTTGTGTGAGTGTGAACCAACCCTGACGTTGTGTGAGTGTGAACCAACCCTGACGTTGTGTGAGTGTGAACCAACCCTGACGTTGTGTGAGTGTGAACCAACCCTGACGTTGTGTGAGTGAAGTCCTCCGGGGTGTTGGCTCATGTACTCTGACAGATCCGTCTGCTGCAAAAAAACAAACATAGAAGAAGAAACATTGAGAGTCCTCACTGCAACAACAGCAGTGCCCCCCGCTGGTCAACCTCCACATGCTCCTCACCACGTATTCAAAGACGAGCGTCAGAGACTCTCTGGTGTGGATGATGTCATGGAGGACCACAATGTTGGCGTGTTTCAGACCTTTGAGCAGAGAGGCTGGGCATGCACACGCACGCACGCACGCACGCACGCACGCACGCACGCACGCACGCACGCACGCACGCACGCACGCACGCACGCACGCACGCGCGCACACACACACACACACACACACACACACACACACATTAAAAACAAACAGATCTGCAGTGAAGAATAAGTGTTTTTGTGATAATACCTTCTCTGATGGCGGTGAACGGCACGCCCTCCTCCGTCTTCATACGAATCACCTTCAGAGCCACCAGCTGCCCGTTTATCCTCCAAACATTTACCAAAATAAAGTTTCAACTTCCTACACTGTTAAAAAGTGACACGATACACGGCACAACAGGTGTAGAACAGGTGTAGTCAGGTGTAGCCAGGTGTAGTCAGGTGTATGCAAAACAGGTGTAGTCAGGTGAAGTCAGGTGTAGTCAGGTGTATGCAGAACAGGTGTAGTCAGGTGTAGTCAGGTGTATGCAGAACAGGTGTAGTCAGGTGAAGTCAGGTGAAGTCAGGTGTAGTCAGGTGTAGTCAGGTGTATGCAGAACAGGTGTAGTCAGGTGTAGTCAGGTGCATGGGGCGAACTGACCTGCTGATTCCTTTGTAGACGGAGGCATATGCTCCTTCACCCAGTTTCTCCAGACTGACGTAGGAATGAGCCGCTCCAAACTGAAGACCGGGTTTCTGAGCACAGAGACAGGAAACACTCAGACTCAGGGTCTAGGACACGCCTACAAATGATTGACAGGTGGTGTTCTGACCCAGGCAATGTGGTCCTGGCAGCCATTCCCTCCCAGGGGGTCGCTGTTGCTGCGCCCTCGCTGAACTCGGTACCGTCGGACCTGCAGGGTGTGGAACCAGTGGGGCTGGGACCCTGAGGGGTAGGACTCAGACTGGTCCAAATCCAGCTAAGACAGATAGAGACCTGATCAACAGGACCGCCTTAAAACCTTCAAAGTTACATTAAAAACCTCCTTAAAAAGGTTAGTCCAAGAGGAGTAAAGTTAGTCCAAGAGGAGTAAAGTTAGTCCAAGCGGAGTAGAGTTAGTCTTAGAGGGGTAGAGTTAGTCTTAGAGGAGTAGAGTTAGTCTTAGAGAAGTAAAGTTAGTCCAAGAGGAGTAAAGTTAGTCTTAGAGGACTAAAGTTAGTTATAGAGGAGTAAAGTTAGTCTTAGAGGAGTAAAGGTAGTTATAGAGGAGTAAAGTTGGTCCAAGAGGAGTAAAGTTAGTCCAAGAGGAGTAAAGATAGTCCAAGAGGAGTAGAGTTAGTCTTAGAGGAGTAGAGTTAGTCTTAGAGAAGTAAAGTTAGTCCAAGAGGAGTAGAGTTAGTCTTAGAGGAGTAAAGTTAGTCTTAGAGGAGTAAAGTTAGTCCAAGAGGAGTAAAGATAGTCCAAGAGGAGTAGAGTTAGTCTTAGAGGAGTAGAGTTAGTCTTAGAGAAGTAAAGTTAGTCTTAGAGGAGTAAAGTTAGTCTTAGAGGAGTAAAGGTAGTTATAGAGAAGTAAAGTTAGTCTTAGAGGAGTAGAGTTAGTCTTAGAGAAGTAAAGTTAGTCCAAGAGGAGTAGAGTTAGTCTTAGAGGAGTAAAGTTAGTCTTAGAGGAGTAAAGGTAGTTATAGAGAAGTAAAGTTAGTCTTAGAGGAGTAGAGTTAGTCTTAGAGGAGTAAAGTTAGTTATAGAGGAGTAAAGTTAGTCTTAGAGGAGTAGAGTTAGTCTTAGAGGAGTAAAGTTAGTTATAGAGGAGTAAAGTTAGTTATAGAGGAGTAAAGTTAGTCCAAGAGGAGTAAAGTTAGTTATAGAGGAGCAAAGTTAGTCTTAGAGGAGTAAAGTTAGTTATAGAAGAGAAAAGTCAGTCCAAGAGGAGTAAAGTTAGTTATAGAGGAGTAAAGTTAGTTATAGAGGAGTAAAATTAGTTATAGAGGGGTAAAATTAGTCTTAGAGGAGTAAAGTTAGTCTTAGAGGAGTAAAGTTAGTTATAGAAGAGTAAAGTTAGTTATAAAGGAGTAAAGTTAGTCCAAGAGGAGTAAAGTTAGTTATAGAGGAGTAAAATTAGTCCAAGAGGAGTAGAGTTAGTTATAGAGGAGTAAAGTTAGTCCAAGAGGAGTAAAGTTAGTTTTAGAGGAGTAAAGTTAGTTATAGAGGAGTAAAGTTAGTCCAAGAGGAGTAAAGTTAGTTTTAGAGGAGTAAAGTTAGTTATAGAGGAGTAAAGTTAGTCCAAGAGGAGTAAAGTTAGTTATAGAGGAGTAAAGTTAGTTATAGAGGAGTAAAGATAGTCCAAGAGGAGTAAAGTTAGTCCAAGAGGAGTAAAGTTAGTCCAGAGGAGTAAAGTTAGTTATAGAGGAGTAAAGTTAGTCCAAGAGGAGTAAAGTTAGTCCAAGAGGAGTAAAGTTAGTTATAGAGGAGTAGAGTTAGTCTTAGAGGAGTAAAGTTAGTCTTAGAGGAGTAAAGTTAGTCCAAGAGGAGTAAAGTTAGTTATAGAGGAGAAAAGTTAGTCCAAGAGGAGTAAAGTTAGTTATAGAGGAGTAAAGTTAGTCTAAGAGGAGTAAAGTTAGTCCAAGAGGAGTAAAGTTAGTTATAGAGGAGTAAAGTTAGTTATAGAGGAGTAAAGTTAGTTATAGAGGAGTAGGTTAGTCTTATAGGAGTAAAGTTAGTTATAGAGGAGTAAAGTTAGTTATAGAGGAGTAAAGTTAGTTATAGAGGAGTAGAGTTAGTCTTATAGGAGTAAAGTTAGTTATAGAGGAGTAAAATTAGTTATAGAGGAGTAAAGTTAGTTATAGAGGAGTAGAGTTAGTCTTATAGGAGTAAAGTTAGTTATAGAGGAGTAAAGTTAGTTATAGAGGAGTAAAGTTAGTCTTATAGGAGTAAAGTTAGTTATAGAGGAGTAAAGTTAGTTATAGAGGAGTAACGTTAGTTATAGAGGAGTAGAGTTAGTCTTATAGGAGTAAAGTTAGTTATAGAGGAGTAAAGTTAGTTATAGAGGAGTAGAGTTAGTCTTAGAGGAGTAAAGTTAGTTATAGAGGAGTAAAGTTAGTCTTAGAGGAGTAAAGTTAGTCTAAGAGGAGTAAAGTTAGTCTTAGAGGAGTAAAGTTAGTCTTAGAGGAGTAAAGTTTGGGAGTTAAAGGGTTAATGAATACCTCAGCAGGCGGGAGGGATGATGAACTCTTGCTTTTTTTAAAGTTGAGCTCCCTCATCATCTCCTCCTCGTCTCCTTTGCTCCTTCCTTTGCTCCTTCCTCTCTCCTCCTCCTCGTCCTCCTCCTGTCCACAGCAGCACCTCCTCACCCACCTCCCGGTCTCTGAAACCCACCGGGACAAGTCCTCCATCTTTTCTTCTTCTTCAGTCTCTCCTATCTCTCTCTCTCATGACTCAGATGGTTCAGGACGAGCAAACAGGGTCTCATGACCATCTCTCATTCACAACAACAGGGTCCATTCAACAGTGTGTGTGTGTGTGTGTGTGTGTGTGTGTGTGTGTGTGTGTGTGTGTGTGTGTGTGTGTGTGTGTGTGTGTGTGTGCTGCCCTCAAGTGGTCACTGACTGCTACTACAACATATCCCATGAGTAGAGTTGAACAGTGTAGCTCTAAATCATATTACAGATGATGCAGTGTGAAAACTCCAGTGTGGATCTGTCTCAGCTCCTCCATCATACTTGATGTTCTTCAGTTTGGACTGAACCACCAGGAAGTGGATGTACATCTCAGTCAGGGTCTTGGGCAGCTCTCCTCTCTTTCTGGTCTTCAGCACATCCTCCAGAACTGTAGCAGTGATCCAGCAGAAGACTGGGATGTGGCACATGATGTGGAGGCTTCTGGATGTCTTGATGTGGGAGATGATTCTGTTGGCCTGCTCCTCATCTCTGAACCTCTTCCTGAAGTACTCGTCCTTCTTTGGGTCAGTGAACCCTCTGACCTCTGTCACCCTGTCAACACACTCAGGAGGGATCTGATTGGCTGCTGCAGGTCGTGTGGTTATCCAGAGGCGAGCAGAGGGAAGCAGGTTCCCCCTGATGAGGTTTGTCAGCAGCACATCCACTGAGGTGGACTCTGTGACATCAGTCAGGGTCTCATTGTTTTTAAAGTCCAGAGGAAGTCGACACTCATCCAGACCATCAAAGATGAACACAACCTGGAACTCTTCAAACCTGCAGATTCCTGCTTCTTTGGTTTCAGGAAAGAAGTGATGAACAAGTTCCACCAAGCTGAACTTTTTCTCTTTCAGCACATTCAGCTCTCTGAAAGTGAATGGAAATGTGAACTGTACGTCCTGGTTGGCTTTGTCTTCAGCCCAGTCCAGAGTGAACTTCTGTGTTAAGACTGTTTTCCCGATGCCAGCCACTCCCTTTGTCATCACTCTTCTGATTGGTTCATCTCTTCCAGGTGAGGCTTTAAAGATGTCTTCTTGTCTGATGGTTGTTTCTGGTCTGTCTGGTTTCCTGGATGCTGTTTCAATCTGTCTGACCTCGTGTTCATCATTGACCTCTCCAGTCCCTCCCTCTGTGATGTGGAGCTCTGTGTAGATCTGATCCAGAAGGGTTTCCTGCTTTAGGAATCCCCTCAAACACACACTGGAACTTCTCCTTTAGATTAGACTTCAGTTTCTGTTGACAGATTTCAGGACTTTCTGATGAATGCATAAAGAGTTCGATTGATAAGTTACAAATAAAGAAAAAGAAAGTATGACAACACTGATCGATCAGCCATAACATTGTGACGTCAACATTTCATGTATATTATTTGGTTACAGAGTAATACTTAAATGAAGAAACTTCAGTGTCTGAGCACTTTCTCATACCCATCTTGGAATACCAAAAGGGTACATACATTTGCTGACACTCATAACGACTCGAAATTTTGATGATTTAAGACTGTCATTTAATTTACCAAACTCATCTTTTTTCTTTTACCTCCAACTGCGTGCATCCATGAAAGCATATGGAGTACCTTGGAACTCTCCACTTACCAGGCATCCTTTGCATTCCATCTTTGCCCCAAATGGGCAGAATAAAGGTGTGGTTTCTCAGATATACTCACTCTTCCAGACAACTTCCTATAACGAGTTGCCTATTGCACGGTATGGGCTGGCGACTTGAAACAATATGTTGGAGAGATTAAGCCTGACTGGAAGAGGATATGGTCCTCGATTGTTATTGCCTCGAGGAACCCTGATCACCAACTGATTCATTTCAAACACTCAGGACGTATCTAACTCCAAGAAAGGCTTATCTCATAAAACGACTGTCATCCCCAAACTGCACATTGTGCACAGAAGGACTCACAGGTTCCTGTATGCACATGTATTGGGAATGCAGGGATGTTAAATCATTTTGGGGTGAGGTTTGTGATATTCTATCTGATGTACTGGGTGTACCTGTGCCATGCTCTCCCGCTTTGCTGCTCCTGAATGATACAACCTCATTAAAATTAACATGTATAAATACACGTATTCTTTTAACAGGCATCACTGCAGCCAAAAAGATGTTGGCTTTATGCCCACACGCAGTCACAAAAAAACAGTGGATTAACACATATATTGATATCATTGGTGTGGAGCTGTCAGTGGCAAGAGTGCATGGTGCTGCAGCTGTCACCATCTCAGCATGGGAATCAATGCTAGAAAGAATTAACAAACTGCTGTAAGCGCTATATTATTACTTTATCTTTCATCTATGCTCTGGAATCTGTTTCCCCTGCACACAGTATTTATTTATAATAGAGACCTATGGGGTGGGGAGGGAGGGAACACCACAAGGTTTATGTTTCACTTTTTTGTCTGTATTTTTATGATTGTTGTAACTCTGTCTGTTATAAAAGGAAATTAAAAAGTTGATCACAAAAAAAGAAATAGTCTATGCAGGAAATATTACAGATTAATATCAATAATTAACGGATATAAAAAATGTATGTCAACCACAAACAGCATTCACAGAGGCAGACAGGTGAGAGTCTGTAAGAGATCATTTCTTCAGGAGTCAGAATTCAGTTTTTAACTTCTATGAATTATGAACTAATTTAATTTAATTTAATTTAATTTAATTTAATTTAATTTAATTTAATTTAATTTGTTTTTAAAACACAAACAGTCACAGAAATATAACACACATATTTCAACACTGAGTCGTGTACAAACTCTTTTTATCAAAGTACTCTGAAACGATCGTGATGACGTAACACCGGATGTGGCGCTAGTTTAGCGGGAATTAGCATATAAATATTAGCTTAGCCTGCTCGACATTACTAACAGCTAATCCAAACTCCCGAAACAATGTCTCAGTTTATCATGCTTCACACAGTCTGTTCCCTCTCTTAACGTCTTAAACTTTTGACTATAAACACTTATTTCACACTCGTAAAGTTACTAGCTTTGTATTTAGCAACCGGATGTGTTTCTATCGGCGGCCGCCATCTTGAAACACATCCGGGGCAACAAACAAACAAAATCCACGTCTGTTGACGTCATAATTACAACTAAAGCTCTGATAAAACATGTTACTGTTGTTAATCCCCAGGATGTTAATCACAGTCAGCTTACCTGTAGGAAACACAGGTACAGATGTAACACTGAAACTCCTTCATCACGTACTGACTACTTCCGGTCTACCGGCTCGTGCTGCTCAGTGTTAGAGCGCCCTCTCCTGGCGGGGGGTCTGTGTACCTCCCCTAATGAATTCATAATTACCCCTCCTGGCGGGGGGTCTGTGTACCTCCCCTAATGAATTCATAATTACCCCTCCTGGCGGGGGGTCTGTGTACCTCCCCTAATGAATTCATAATTACCCCTCCTGGCGGGGGGTCTGTGTACCTCCCCTAATGAATTCATAATTACCTCTCCTGGCGGGGGGTCTGTGTACCTCCCCTAATGAATTCATAATTACCCCTCCTGGCGGGGGGTCTGTGTACCTCCCCTAATGAATTCATAATTACCCCTCCTGGCGGGGGGTCTGTGTACCTCCCCTAATGAATTCATAATTACCTCTCCTGGCGGGGGGTCTGTGTACCTCCCCTAATGAATTCATAATTACCCCTCCTGGCGGGGGGTCTGTGTACCTCCCCTAATGAATTCATAATCACCCCCCTCCCCCTCAGGTATCATCTTTTGAATCTTCTTCCTGAATTCCTCTGACTGACAGGACGTCAACAAACCAGTTTTTAAACTTTCATATCATTTTATGACAAATTTAATATTTCTTCTTTTAATGAACAGAGAGAGACACACTGAGACACACCTGAGACACACTGAGACACACCTAAGACACCTGAGACACACTGAGACACACCTGAGACACACCTAAGACACCTGAGACACACCTAAGACACCTGAGACACACTGAGACACACTGAGACACACTGAGACACACCTAAGACACCTGAGACACACTGAGACACACCTAAGACACCTGAGACACACCTAAGACACCTGAGACACACTGAGACACACTGAGACACACCTGAGACACCTGAGACACACTGAGACACACCTGAGACGCACTGAGACACACCTGAGATACCTAAGAGACACCTGAGACACACTTGAGACACACTGAGACACACCTAAGACACCTGAGACACACTGAGACACACCTGAGACACACTGAGACACACCTAAGACACCTGAGACACACTGAGACACACCTAAGACACCTGAGACACACTGAGACACACTGAGACACACCTGAGACACACTGAGACACACCTGAGACACACTGAGACACACCTAAGACACCTGAGACACACTGAGACACACTGAGACACACCTGAGACACACTGAGACACACCTGAGACACACCTGAGACACCTGAGACACACCTGAGACACCTGAGACACACTGAGACACACCGAGACACACCTGAGACACACCGAGACACACCTGAGACACCTGAGACACACTGAGACACACCTGAGACACCTGAGACACACTGAGACACACTGAGACACACCTGAGACACACTGAGACACACCTGAGACACCTGGGACACACCTGAGACACCTGAGACACACCTGAGAGAAACTGAGACACACCTGAGACACATGAGAGACATTTAGACACACCTGAGACACACCTGAGATACCTGAGACACGCCTGAGACACACCTGAGACACGCCTGAGACATACCTGAGACACGCCTGAGACACACCTGAGACACACCTGAGACACATTTAGACACAACTGAGACACCTGAGAGACATTTAGACACAACTGAGACACAACTGAGACACAACTGAGACACGCCTGAGACACACCTGAGACACGCCTGAGACACACCTGAGACACACCTGAGACACATTTAGACACAACTGAGACACCTGAGAGACATTTAGACACAACTGAGACACAACTGAGACACACCTAAGACACACCTAAGACACCTGAGAGACATTTAGACACAGCTAAGAGATTTTAACCTTTTCTTTTGGATGCTAATGTTAGCTTAGCACAGCATGCTAATGTTAGCTTAGCACAGACACAGCATGTAGAGAATCAGTTAATCAACAAGTTCTGATTATTTTAAATCAAGTTTTTAATGTTTGAACTCAGACAGATCAACTTTAATCAACTACAGCTCCAGAGTGCATTGCATTAGAATCATCCAATCACAGGACATCAGAGGAGAAGTAGGAGCTGTTGTTGTTTCACTTCCTCTCGTCTGCAGCGAGGAGGATGGCGGCGGTGCTCTCCTTCGCCTCCTGCAGCAACGCTGCTGCTCTCTTCAGAGTCTGCAACACACACACACACACACACACACACACACACACACACACACACACACACACACACACACACACACACACACACACACACACACACACACACACAATCTCTGTGAGAGGACTCTCAGGATGTTTGTTGTTGTTGTTGATGTTTGTTGATGTTTGTTAATGTTTGTTGTTGATGTTTGTTGATGTTTGTTAATGTTTGTTGTTGATGTTTATTGTTGATGTTTGTTGTTGTTTGTTAATGTTTGTTGTTGATGTTTGTTGTTGTTTGTTAATGTTTGTTGTTGATGTTTGTTGTTGATGTTTGTTGATGTTTGTTAATGTTTGTTGTTGATGTTTGTTGATGTTTGTTGATGTTTGTTAATGTTTGTTGATGTTTGTTGATGTTTGTTGATGTTTGTTGATGTTTGTTAATGTTTGTTGTTAATGTTTGTTGATGTTTGTTGATGTTTGTTAATGTTTGTTGTTGATGTTTGTTAATGTTTGTTGTTAATGTTTGTTGATGTTTGTTGATGTTTGTTAATGTTTGTTAATGTTTGTTGTTGATGTTTGTTGATGTTTGTTGATGTTTGTTGTTGATGTTTGTTGATGTTTGTTGATGTTTGTTAATGTTTGTTGTTAATGTTTGTTGATGTTTGTTGATGTTTGTTAATGTTTGTGGTTGATGTTTGTTGATGTTTGTTGATGTTTGTTGATGTTTGTTAATGTTTGTTGATGTTTGTTGATGTTTGTTGATGTTTGTTAATGTTTGTTGATGTTTGTTGATGTTTGTTGATGTTTGTTGTTGATGTTTATTGTTGATGTTTGTTGTTGTTTGTTAATGTTTGTTGTTAATGTTTGTTGATGTTTGTTGATGTTTGTTGATGTTTGTTGATGTTTGTTAATGTTTGTTAATGTTTGTTGATGTTTGTTGATGTTTGTTGATGTTTGTTAATGTTTGTTGATGTTTGTTGATGTTTGTTGATGTTTGTTGATGTTTGTTGATGCTTGTTGTTGATGTTTGTTGTTGATGTTTGTAAACATACGGCCATCTTGAATTCTTGGTCTGTGATGTCCTTGAGGTTGATCGTCACGTTGTAATACGCTCCGAAAACCGCCGTCTCCAGAGCTTTAGCCGCCACCTGAGCACGCACATTCAAATGTAAACAAAAAGAAAAGCTCAGCTTGTTTATGAGACAGTGGTGAAAAACAAACAAACAAACACTTTGAGTCACCTGAGCGTCCGACTTGCATGCCACGTTTCCGTAAACGACCATTTCTTTAAGAGAC